CGAGTGGTTCCGCAGTAAACTTTGACAATGTTATGACGAAATTTATCATCAATAAGAGGACAGACGCATAAAAAATTGACGTCAGTTTGTTTTTTACAATAACAAGACCCCAAAATGGTCAAATGCCGGGAATAAATGAGGGGAAAAGACGCAGTAAACTTGCCGTAAACAAAGATGAGAGAATTTTATTCAAAATGACGCGAACACAATAGCTTTTCTCGCTTTTTAATTGGTTACTTAAAAAAGTCCATAAAAACTCATTGGTTAAAAAGTTGACAGTTTGACAGCTGAAAGTTGAACTCGAAAGCTTGCATTAATTAAAATTTTATCCGTCTGTACTCTTATTGATGATAAAAATGAGCCAATCAGTGCGCGAGAAATTAGACAGTTATTGTAAAAATAGATTTAGATTTCTAACCTCTAACGTTTAATAGCTGTTTTGTTTTACTCTACATCAGCGCATGCTGAGGTTAGCTTTTCATTGACCTGTAATAATGTTTTTTCTACATAAGCAGCATTGCCCCCAGCTGAGGAATAGGCATTATTCTTCTTTGTGCCTTGCACGGTTAGAGGGCTAGTGTTTTCCTTCTAGCACAAAACTAAATTGTTAAGAAGAGATTGTTCAGTGAGTTTGCCACCAGTCAGTATGATGTGTGTAATCTTTATGTATTTTATTCTTCGATATTCCAGAAGCTTTCTCGGACTCGCCATTCCGGTTTGCAACGGTGAGTAAATTATAAATTTCGCACTTACATGCTACATATTTATAAGAACACAGGGAGAAACCAACTGACCGACTGGTAGACTCGTGAATCAAAAACTTGAGGGGTATTTTAAAAAAAAAAAAAAAAGGATAAATGATACTCGAGAGTAATTTCCATAACAAGAGACTGTTCCCGGGACACACTGACATATGCATGTGTGCTCGTGCTCGTGTTCGTGCTCGTGTTCGTGCTCGTGTTCGTGCTCGTGTTCGTGCTCCCGCTCCTGCTCATGTTCTTGTTCGTGTTCGTGCTCGTGCTCGTGCTCGTGCTCGTGCTCGTGCTCGTGCTCGTGCTCGTGCTCGTGCTCGTGCTCGTGCTCGTGCTCGTGCTCGTGCTCGTGCTCGTGCTCGTGCTCGTTCTCGTTCTCATGCTCATGTTCGTGCTCGTGTTCGTGCTCCTGCTCCTGCTCGTGTTTGTGTTCGTGTTCTTGCTCGTGCTTGTGCTCGTGTTTGCGTTCGTGTTCGTGTACGTTCGTGCTCGTGCTCGAAACATCAACTGATTTTATAGACCGAAACAAAACCCAAACCCCATTGCGTAATTGACCCTTTTAATATTTTCAGCGCTCTGTGGACAGAACAGAGAACGACGACTGGTTTAACCACTGCAGAGATAACCGGGGTTCCATTACGGCAACTCTTGGCATTTCGCCAGCAACAACACTAAATGTATACACGTGTCAGTTCTCGAGCTCTGATCCACCCTTGATCGGCTATGCGACCTTGCCTTGGGAACACAGCGAGTCGGATTTACAACACGGTGTGGCAATACATCACGGAACACTGCCGGGAGGAGGGATGGTTACATTTAACCTTGGAGATAATGCTGTTCACGAGGTAATAGTTTATTGCTCATCATAACTTTTAAACAGTGGATTGCAAATGTAATAGTCTAGTTGAAATTGAACGCTGAGCTAGTTCTTAAAACGATAGATAGAAACTGATAAAACATAAATGACTGTCAGATTCTCATGTGACTATACGTAATCGACTTAATCTTCGACGTCGCCCTGTTGAGGATTGCTAAAGGAAACGTCAATGTAAGACAAGACTAAATTCGAAGGAATGTCTCTACTCACGTTCATTGTTATCTATTTTCATAGATCGGCCATTACTTTGGTCTGTTTCACGTGTGTGAGGTATGTAGATATGGTAAAAGTTCGTATGGAAAACGGGTGACTGAGCCACAAGAGAAGTGTTTTCAATGGATGGCTGTACCAACTGGTGTTTTCATCTTCGTATGATTACTCTGTAAATAGGAAATTTCCTGTTATGAAATTGTATTAGTGTCTGTCTGTCTGCCTGTCTGTCCGTTCTATACTGTGCACAGTTAAAATTTCATTATCAAACTAGACATAACGCACGTAGGTACGTCTCCTGTCACGACTAGGACTGTACGAGTAGTCCCTCTTTAGCTTAGTCTGTCGATCTCTTTCGCGTCACGCACGACGGACTAATTATAAGCGAAAGAGGGTCTACTCGATGAGCCTGCCAAAACAATTGACAGTGTCTGTAACAGGGTGGCTGCACAGAAGATGAAGACGATGAAGTTGCAGACACCCCACGCTGTGCTGATTACACGTATATCTGCACAGACCAACCAGTGGACACCTGTAAATTTCAAAGTGGACTGGACCCAATTCACAATTACATGGGCTGTAAGTAACGTGCCTCAAAAACGCAGAGATTGTTGGGATAGTAAACTTGAAACGAAACGGTTTCATGTTTTTTCAACGTTTTCAAATCATAACTGGAGCACCTTACTAACCGAGCGATTGAACGACCGACCGATCGACTGTCCGAACTACCGACGGGTGGGTGACTGGCCCGGGGGAGGTACTCCCCAAAGTTTTTGGTAGGGGTGTATGGCCTGAACTTTGAAACCCTTACCCTATTTCAATACAAAATCTGTGATTTTCCATACCCTATTTCAGACCTGAGCCAAAACTCGATACCCCATTTCAGATCTCTAAAATCAGTACACGGCTCTAATATCTGACCGCAGCTAACCAGTAATGGCTTCCATTTGCACAAACATTTGACAAGGGCTACAACTTCGCCAATGATGATGCGGAAAAAAAATTAGTTCCTTGTAGACTAAACACCCATTGACAAGCCAGAGTGAAACACATACCCTATTTCAGACCAAAATAGCTCAAAAACCATACCTTTGGGGCCGCATGCAAATACTTATATAGCCCATATAAGGGAGGAGCACCCCCAGGGGGGACAGCTAGTTAAGTGATTGCTTCCTTGCTTCAGTGCTTCTTACCTGATTCATCTATTCATTCGTTCCTTCCGGCGTCGTAGGAATGTTCATCATTCAACTTCTTTGTAGGATTATATGTATTTCATTCTTATTTACAGTCATGGAGGATGCCTGTATGTATGAATTCACACCAGGTCAGATAACTAACATGGCGCAGCACGTCAAGACCTTTAGACCTACTCTGATGAAAAACATCCACAGTGAGTAATTTTAGACTGACAGTGTCTTTCATTTCACTGAGTGTTTCGAGTAATGTATCTACAATTTTTCTTCTTTGAGGTTATTCTGCCAGTTAGGTCGCGCGATTAACTCCAAGCTTTAATATTGAGCCGTCCGAAAGCTCTCGTTCAAGTAATCTTGGGGTAACCTCCCTAAACAGAAAGCTTAGCCCATCACTGGTTAGTCCACCGTAGTCTCTCGGTTGGACGAAATCACTGTAAAAGAAGGGTATTTCCAAGAACACAAGAAAACGACTCCGACCAGGTTCGAACAGTACCAGGTCAACAAAGTCTACACGGAATCGAGAATCCCATACGTTGACCACACCCTAAGCGAATGCCTTTACATACACAACTCATTACAGGAACTACGTCACGGTTTGCGCATCTTGAAAAGTTTAGCCTAAATTTTTCAAGTTCGTCGTTTGTAATCCGTGTTAATCTTCTCCATCCCTAACCCTCCTTGTTGTTTTATGGTTTATTATTATCTCTTAAGTCTTTTTCTATCTAAGTAAATTAGTATTTTCAGGTTTCCTTCAATTAAAAAGTGATTTTGCAAGTGTCCAAATAACTCAAAATACCGTGACTNATTGCAATCTGAATCTGGTTTGGTTCCAGTTATAGAACAAGAGCCAAGTTGCCTTAATGGAAGAAATAATTATATCAAACACAACGGACCATGTTTTACCACATTTCCAAAAACCAAGACATTTGAAAAAAGACACACAACAGGGTATTTTAGATGAACTTCAAGGTGTTTGGAAATGTCAAGAAACACTGTCATTTCAGTTCCCCAGTTCAGAAACAACAAGAATTGAGACAGAAGCAGATTATGTGCAAATGTTTATTCATTTTTCCAGAATGCAGCTCATAATAATATCATTCAAAAGCTGGACAAACAAACACCATCAGTATGGCTACTGAGTTCATCCACTTGTTTAGAATTGTCAATAAATTTGTGGAAAAATAAGTTATTTATAATCTTGATAAGGACATCACTACAAAGATAGCACTTTGAAAAAGTCACTATTCAGAAGACAAACAGCATCACACATAATCCCGCAACATTACATTATTGGCACTTTCCATTTTTTTCCTGCACCATAAGAGGCCTATTCTTGAAGGAGAAAAAATTATTTATTTTTCTCCATTCAGGGGACTGTGTGAAATGCCATTCACAGGGGATTGCAGAGTGAAAAATGGAATGTCCCACATTAAGTGGAAGTTCAAGGAGTTCTCAAAATATTGGTAACAGTTTTCTGTACAGGTTGTCAAAATTTTATAACATCTTTTCAGACTGTAGTAGGTTTGAAGAAAAAATAGATTTGTTTCATAGCACATTTAGAAAATGAAATTGTGAAAATTTCAAGTGTTACAGTAGATAGGTACAGAGTATTTCCAAGCATATGAACATTATAATAATTATATCTTAACTAGTTTCTGAGGTATATTCATTACCTAACGATGATTTGATTACATTTACACTAGAGGAAAGAACAGTGTCAAGACCCTTTAGGGGGAAGTCAGAAATTTCATTTACATTTGGTCTGATCTCAAGATGTTAAAATTGTTTATCAAAAGGATAGTTTGACTCACATCAAACACAATAAATTATGCACATAAAGGAATGTACCAAGCATTGGAGTATGAATGAAAGTTGTGTGAACAAATACTGACAGCAGGTTTGAAAAGCGATGGACCAAAGAATAAAGACTTTCTATACCTTGAGCGAGTAACTTGTTGCCACCCTCACATCGCAAAAAAGGAAACAATAGCATGTCATTGAAAATACCTATAGCCAAGTTTCAAATTCTAGTCTTGTGTGTGTTACATTTATTACACTTAGAATTTGCAAAGGTTTTCAATCTGCTATTTAGCTGTAGCTAGCCTTAAATTCCCTTTCAGTTTGGCTTACATGTATCATCTGATCCCATCCACAATATCATGATGTCTAAATGTAGACCGATTAAACCTTCACCAGTGTATTATTTAAGTCAAACATCTACTGATTACATATCCATTAGGTGGACACTTCATCATTTTTAACCTATCATAACCAAACCAATGGCAACTCTACCTGAATTACTTTGAATCCATTTTTTAATGATATTTGTCATCGTTGGGTGCTTACAATTTCACCAAAAAATTCCAAACTATTTCAGGAAAAAATCAAATGGTACAGAGACATTTTCATGCAGAACATTTTGAGGTCCCTCCAGAGGTTACTGCTCTCTTCCCATTTGAAATGGAAGGCAGACCATCCTGTATCATTTCTAGTCTCCCATTAACGGAAAACAATAATCAGAAACCAAAACATAAAATGTAAGTTAGTTAATTTGCACATTGTGCAAAAACTACTTATCACTGTTCAAAATTCAAGCCAACTGGTCCTTTCTGGCAATCATAAGCACCATGCATGTCTGTTGTGTTATACTGTTTAGTTGAAAAACCTGGGATGCTTTCCATTCATCCAAAAATGCAAGTTTGAATTTCCAGAAATTTCCAGTGACAAATGGAACAGCATTTTCCAGAATTTCAAGAAAAGAGGACAACAAAAGCTGGTGTAATGAAATTTTCAGAAGATAATTTCTTGCTGGGAATTTCTGTTCCATTTGATTTTTCTGTGGGATTTTTGGTTGAATGGTTTGCTTTTTAAAAATTCAACAATTTCCAGATTTTCTGGAAACTTTCCCAAAAAAATTTCTGTACCATTTGTTCCAGTTTCAAAATTTTCAGCATTTTGGTTGAATGGAAAGCGTCCCTGACCTGCATTACCTTTGTACAGATGTTGTCGACAGAAATTAGACCATGGTCACTTTGGAGGTTAAAACCTGCTCAACATGATCCTAACTTGCCAATCAATAAAACATTTGTAGTAAATAGTGCGGTTTTCAATTGAGTGTTGTAAAACCAAAACCAAACCAATTACTTACCAATTAGACTACTCAGCCAATCTCAAACCGTAGTAAAACCAAAACCAAAACCAAAACCAAAACCAAAGTAATTGTCTAATTACTTTCGACACTCAAATGAAAACCGTTCTATAACTATCATTATTTCATACCTATTAATTGTTTTTTCCGGCTAATATCCCTTGTATTTATGACAAATATTAAATTGCATTCAAGTATAAAATAGAAATGGCAAAAATTTAAGCTGTACAGAGAATGAATACATCTGTCTTAATTACAAAATTAGCTGAAGCGAGGTAAAAATGGTGATGGATGAGTTCCGCTTGAAGTAGTTTGGTTTGGATCTACAAATAACAAAACAAAAATACATCAATTACATATTAACAACAGCCTCCATTTGGTACAAAGATATGTTTGGATATTTGTTCGAGGACGTTATCTGTTCCAAGAGAACAGTTTTCTAAGAGAGAAGTACAAGGACAATGGTAAGCTTCAAGGAACAGACAATGGTCAAGGACAAATATATGAGAATATTTTTTTAAGTCAAATGGAGGCTCTCATTTTTGTTATCCTTCAAATGTTTTTTGCAAGGTACGTAATTGCGTAATATCACTCGGATATCCCCCAGTTTTTGCTGGCAAGGGGCATATTTAGTAATGTAATGCGTTTAGACCAGTCATGCGCAAGCGAAAATATTTGATGCATTATAACTATCAATAACTACTTTTGACCATTAAATTAATGCTTTGACTTGAAAGATGGGCTATTTTATGGGAATTATGTTTTCTTGAGATTTAAAATTACTCTCCACATTTGTGTTACTATGAGACAAAAAAAATTATAATCATATTTTGCAATTCTTTGTGGAGATCAGTTTTGCATATTTATATTTAATTTGACACAATTTTGATATTCAAAGAATTTAACTTTAATGAGAGCAAAGGCATTTTAACTTTCAGTAGTAACTAAAATCATTGTTTAAATTTTTTTAATTGAACTGAATTTGCAAATCAAAATATCTCAATTTTGCCTTTAATCTTGTTTATTTTGAAAAAAATATATACTTAAACAAAAACAGTTACATTTTAAAATGATTAACTTAGGGATAAATTGTTCCATTTGTTTCCCCTTGGAAGGAATGAATGTAAAGACATGGAAGAAGTCAAGCCTAAATACCTTGAAATACAGGCTGATTGGACAGCAATGCACCATGGGGCAGCTGTAATGAGGGCAAGCTCTGGTTGGCTGTTGGGTTCATCCCCAAGAGAACTGTTGAAATTTAAATGAACATGTCTCAAAATAGTGCTACAAGTTTACAAAATGAATTTAAGTTCTCTGTTGGAGGTTACTGGTAAATCGTTTTTGAAGAAGGTTACAAAATTAGGCAATATTATGTGTCATCTGTTTATCAGTGAGATATGTAATGTAGATGACTATTGTAATTTGATTACTTGTGGCCTGCATAAGATTATAATAGTAATAATAACTACATATTTAACCAGAGTAAATTTGTCAGCATAAGCTGACAGGGCAACTGTAGCTGCTTGTCTCTTGCGGTGCTGCCTAACTATTGGTGAGTCCAGTATGTGGAATCATTCCATGACAGTTTTGAAACATGATCTATGAAATCCAGTGGTCATTGCCAAATGGCAGTTCTTTATGATTAGTCAAATAAAATCAATAAATATTATTGCATGATGTCAATCTTCAATACATGATTAACAAATTGATGTGATCTTCACCAACTGCCAGTTAATTTTATTAAAAGCAGGGTTAATAAAATTGTTTATCAAAAAAGTGTCCTTCTTTAGATTGCTTTAAGACATTTATTGGTAATAGTTTAATACACTTTTCATTAATACTTATTTATAAACATTTTAAAGTATAAAAGAGAGGTGGACAATTAAGCAACATGTACTGTGAAAGAACACTTTTCTATCACATTTCCTAGTAGGCTACTAAGCTAGAAATAAATATATAGTAAAAATGTGCAAAAGGTAAATGAGAATTAGCAATGGAAAATCCACTGTCTTGTAGAAGGCGGAAAACTGGGGAACCCAGAGAAAAAACAGTACCTGGATTAAAGTGATTTTGTGGGAGTACAATGCCAGACGGTTGTTCTTGCTGTTGTCGAGACAGGTGAAGCATAGCAGATTGTAGATTGGATGGGACGATCCCTATATGTGTCAAGGGTGTGGTGGCCTTGCCGTGCAGATTGGCAGCAGCACCAAACAAGGTGAGGTTAGGAGGTTGAGGTTGTGGCTGATGCAGTGCTTGTGACGTCATGGGAGAGCTTAGTGACATAGCAATGGATTGAGGTGATAATCCCGGGACAAATCCTGAATGGGTTGCTTGGCAGCTTTTGAGATCCACTGGTCTAAAAACATAAAACAAACCAAAATTATATCAATCATAAATTTTGAACAATGATTTCTCTTCATGTTATCAACAGCATGTTTTTGACTAAGCTAGTTTCAAGACAGGCTGTGGAAAATGACGATGCAGTTTAAGATCACCCTGGTGAGGAATACAGTTGACCCTGCATTGTTAAGGCTGTGGTCAAGGCCATAACTATACGACTGCAGTGACAACTGTGACTTGAAGTAGTTATTTGCACTGCAGAGTAAAACAGACAGACACATGTATTCCCTCACCTTCTTGGTGAAGTGATGGTGTCCAAAATTGTTTGAGATGGAGTAGTAAGAGAGACAGCTGCCTGTTGTTGCTGCATTAGTGAAGATGCTGCTAGATCAATGAACTTGTTCGGTAACCCTTTTGCCGCAAGACTCCCAACAGATGCCGCCATCAATCCTGAATGACTGGTGCTCTGAACAACTACAGGAGAGGAACGAATTATTTTTGGTGGAGACGACATGGTGATTTGAGTTCGTGCAGGTGAAATGGTGGACGATTGGATTGGAAGTGAAATTGTTGTTGTAGTAATCACAGAACTTGGTAGATGAGTTAACAGTTGATCTCTTGGCTTTTCCTTGGGTGACGCAGGCATCTTGTTGAGAAAAGAAGCTAATGGCTGCTTTGGAGGAGTAGCCTGTTGAGAATGGAGCAATTTTGATGCTTCTGTTTGCCCCTGGGGCATCATCATGTCTGCAAAGTCTAATATTGTAACAGCAGGCTTTGACTGGAGACTGTCTGACAATGGAGGTGATTTCACTGTAACAGATTTTTGAGCAGTATCTTTCTGAGCAAGGTTTAATTCAGCGATTACTGATACAGTTTGAGGTTTCTGTTCAGGACCTGATCTGCTCACTGCAGTGGTTTCCATTTTGGTCACACTGGCTGTAGTGGTAACAGGTTTGTGTACCGGTATGACAGTGGCCAGAGCTGCTATAGTCGGCTTGATATCTGCAAGTCTGTCTGACTGTGCAAGGTTCTTCAAAACCGATAAAGCTGTGGCTGTTGTTGCTAATGAAGCAGAAATTGCTGGTACTACTGCTGGTGCCGTGGTTGAAGAGGTAATTCCAGTGCCTACCACTGATGGAGTGGCACTTGCCACGTCTTTTACATCAGCATTGCCGACATTCTAAAGGGGTATAAGAATAAAAACATAAACCTTCTCACATTTCTTCAATTGCATGCATTTTTTCATGTTTGCAGTGCACAAATGAACTCTTGGCAAACAAATTTACTTGTGATAAAACATCAACATGATGAAACAGATGACCATGTATTCTCAAACAACATGTGACTGGTTTAACTTACACTGTCCTGGTTTTCTGGGGATTCCCCTTGCTTCTTAGGGCCAGGTGCTGAAAAAGCAAAGATAATCAAGGAAAGAAAGTTATAAAACAGTTTCGGAACTAAAAGAGAAAAAGATAGCCACTAGCAGAGTCATATACAAATTGCATGCAGTTAAACTAAAGTATTACCTCATTGAAAGAAATTATGGGTTTGATGGTACAGGCTAGGATAAAATTCACCTCCTGCTGGGATTGACAAGTAACTCATGCCTCAAGTATATCTGATAGGTTTAATTTCCCTGCAGATAGGTCCCAATAGGCAGGGAAAGAACATGTATAAAATTCAGGCTTGATTCTCACCCTCTTCACTGTGACACCACACACAACAGCTGTTACCCAACAACACCCAAGTGAACTAATTGAAAGCAAAAAGTGAGAAGGGAACCCAAAAAGATGAAAACAAAAACACAACTGTTTTGAGTGCACAATACTAGCTGGGAAGTCATGGGTTTGAATACCGTCTGGAACTAATTTTTCACCTAAATACGTACATGTACGAACAACTGATGATTGTCAATGACCACTGACCATCTCGACTGGTTGTTGACACTTACCTTTTTTATAGACTCTTGCTCTGAAAGACAACAACAACAACATTGAACATGTTAGGTTCAGAAATGAAACATTCAAGATCTGAGGATTTTGCTACACGGCAGTTCCTAAAACAAAACAAGAAACACTTACGGAACACTTGTGTATTTTCCATGAGCCTGCTTGCTTTCTTTGAAAAGAATTCTGAAGTTGGAGAGACATCAACATTAATTTTTTAATATCATTTTCATACATCATTAATGCAATGCTATGTTTAATACCAAGTGAAAGGTAAATACTATCCATAGGTCCCCCAGGGTCTTAAGAGATTTTGCAGTTAAGTATTGCTGTGCCAAAGAAACTCACCGGCTTGTCATCCAGCCCTTTGGCCACAATGGTCGTACATCATTTTCAAAGAAGACCTGAACAGAGAAACAAAAGTTTACAGACAATACTGTAAAGTTACTAAGAAAAGAATCCAAAAAATGGAACGACATTTCTGTGTCACGTTGGCACCATTATCAAGTGAGGAATACAACCAAACAGACAATTTATACTAAAAGTAAAGATGTGACATAGAATAAATCAATTAAGAACAAAATTATCTTTTCTGTGGCATTCTTCACTTAATAATGGTACCAAGATGACACCAAAGTGTCATTCCGTTTTTCCACTTTTTTTCGGTATTTCTAAATTTAATCTTAATAAAAGAATCAAGGCAAAAAAGACAACAAAAATTCTTATGACAAACCCTCAGTTATTTTATAGTGGTACAAGGAAATTGTCAGAAGCAAAGAAGGCTTCAAACTGAACAGAAGACATTGTTATTTAGCTTGACTTAGATTTGCACTTCGTCATGCTAGTCAAACCCGGCAGGTTTCTAGAAACCATTAAATTATGGTGTGTTATGACCATCTCATCAGCCTATAAACAGAAGACATGTGTGATCACAAAATGCACACATTTTACCTTCAAATGCTCCTCAGCAGACTGGGCTCTAGTCTTTGACATTTCAAAGATTTTGATCTTCATCTCGACAACATCACACAACAGCTGCCTGGTAATTATTTAAATATGCACCAATCAAACTTGCATTAAAAATAATATTATGTGCCATCAATTCACCACTCAAAATGTAAACATAAGCAAACTAAATGCAATAAATAGACCAATTTTGATGTATTAAAATTCTAACTTGGCTCTGAGGCTTAGCAGAATAAAACAAAAGAAATCACATTGAGGATGAGGGATGAATAATTAATTTCTTATGTTTTATTCCCCTGAGCCCCGGGGCCAAGTTAGAATTTTAGTAGATCAAAATAGGCCTTTTAGAACATTGTGTATTAAAAATTACATGTAGCAGTATTTACCTTAACTCATCAGTCCAAATGAATTTTCGCTTAGGGACATTTTTCTTTGTCTTATCTTCTGGCTGAGCAGGTGCCTAAAGTCAATACAAACTAATTATTATTAATGATTCCCTTGAGTTAATAAGTCTTAATTTACTCTGATTCAAATAAATGTGAATTTGATGATATTCATCATTCTAGAACGGTTTTCAATTGAGTGTCGTAAAACCAAGACCAAACCAGTTACTTATTAATTAGACTACTCAGCCAATCTCAAAACGTAGTAAAACCACAACCAAAACCAAAGTAATTGCCTGATTATGTTCGACACTCATTGGAAAACCACTCTATTCAGTAACCATTCTTACATTTGGATCTGTAGGAGTTGTGATCTCATCACTTTTCTCACTTTCCTCAACCAGTTCCATTGCTGACTTGAAAAGTTCCTTCTGTAATGAAAAACATTACAATAGTAGCATATCCACACACAAATAAATCACAAAAATTATGCACATTTGTTCTGAGTTCTGCTAATTTGTGCAGTGACTTTACTTCACAAAATGCTATCATTCAAGGAAATATTATCAGCCAGTAGTATTTTATTTTCACATCAGAGTACTAAAAGTCAAAGGAGTATTTATAAAATAAAACACCAGGTCAAATACCTTATGATCATCTGCATTTTCTCCATCTTGTTTGGCACTGCTATAATAAAATAAGCCACATAAAATTTCAAAGCACTTCCAGACTACAAGTGAAAAGTTTGTTGGCATATTTACCAGAAATGACTAAGGCAAGTAATATTATAATAGTTAAATAGAGTCATCTATTAATCATCTAAAATGTCTTTTGCAGTCAAATTTTTCATCATTCTTTCTTATGATATAAAAGAGATGGTAATTTAAACGAAAATCAAATGTATTCTTACACACGTTTGGATTTTTGAAGGAAGCTTGCTAAACAAAACCTGAATCTGGAGAGAAAATAATTTTGGCACAAGAAAGGACTCAGCGCACGCTATTGCCTGCAAACTACAAATGAGCTTCATTTCCATTTTTTCTTTCTTTCTTAATTTTAAACGTAAATGCATTTGTATTACAATTTGCTGGCTGAAAAACCCTATTCTTAACAAATTGGTGCAGCTAAATCTAAGATTTGTAAGCTTGCAACTGCCAGGTCAAAGTCATTCTAAAAGTACGAAACACAAATTGTCAGAACTAACATTTTAAAAATGGGGAGTACAAGGAGAAATAACATTTTCAGCGTACAGTTATAAAGTTACCTTTGTCTTTGACTTTCCTCTTCCACATGTCTCTTAACCTCTTCTTCAAATCTCTTAACTTGCTCTGGTATGACTCTATCCACAGCTATGAAAAACAGGCCAATGATTTGTTAATTGATTTGACTTACACAAAAACAATGATACATTTGTCTGTGCTTCTAAAAGGAAAGAGACAGAGTTTGGGAGAACAAGAATTGCTTTGGAAACTGAAATTGTTTTGAGCTTTGAAAGTTGCCATGTGTTCCCCATAAGCTTTGTGGAAACAGAGACACAATGTTACTTATTTCCCTTAGAAAAAAGTTAACAACATTAAACTGTACATTTTAACGGTTTTTCTCAACTGTTACTGACAAAGACTATTAGCTAACTATTTCTGTTAGGATGTTCCAAAGCTACACTACAGTCATTTTACCGAACAATACGTTCTCACTGCTTCAATTCTTTCAGTGAGTAGAAGTTTGAGATCATATAAGAAATGCTAAGGAAAAACAAGATGTAGGTGACTGTTTTTACAGCTGTTGCAAGACTTCCCAATTTACCCAATTCAGTGTTCCTGTAGCTCAACAGAAACAGGACTGTATCTCCTGCCATAAACAGCCACACAAAGAACTTGGCCAAAATCCAGCCATCTTGACCTCACAATTGCTCAATTAGCCACATATAGTGGAACCTCAATATGACAAAGGGCCAGGCAACTGACAAAATATGTTTGCTATAACAAGGTTTTGTTATATCGGGATTCTTCTACATATATTTTACCATTATTGGGCCAAAGAATATCCTGCTCATTATAGTTAGGATTTTGTCAAAAGAGCTTCATTAATTAATCAAGGTTCCACTGTATCATAACTCTATAAAACTAGCAACTGAAACATATCTTAAATGTTAAAGAAATAACTATAGAAACACAGCATCCTCCATTTCATTGTTTCCACGGAGTTTCAGAAACACTCAGGAAAAAAAGCTGTTAAAACATAGAATTTTGTTTCCACAGCTTTTCCCACCTGCCAACCATACCACTCATGTTAGGCTTACTCTATGGCAACAGAACAACCTTTCACTTTTTTAATGAAAAATAAATGGCTCCCATCACAGCTACACAAAGATTAGTAATTGAATTACAAGACTAACCTGCTTTGAGTTTAGCCATTGGCTCTCTCAGTCGAGCAGCCTAAACAATAACAAAAGAGTTTGAAACAAAGTCGTATATTAATATTAATAACTGTAATAGGAACAAAACTAGTAAACTAAAACACTATTTTCACCTGTTCATTTATAAGAAGATTCTTTGCTCTTTTCTTCAATGTCTCCTTGGTGCATGGCAAATAGTAAGCCAAAAATTCATAAATACCCTGGAAATGCAGGCAGAACTAGGGTTGAATTAATATGAATAAAATCTCCTGTGACTTCATATACAAATTTAGGCAATAAAGCATAAGAAAGCAAACTCATATCTGTATGTAAAACTGGGCAATATCCATTATAATCCATCAAATATTTTTGCTCAGACTCAATCGGTCTAAACATGTCACATGAGTGAATATACCCTAATTAGCTAAAACTGGGGAATATCTGAGCAATATTCCCCAATGTTTGTGTTGTGAAAAATATTTCAAGGGTAATAAACACAATAGCCTCCATTTGACTTAAAAACATACTGGGATATTTGATCTTAAACACTGTCTGGTCCTCCAAGCTCACAGTTTTCCACTGTTTGCTTCTTGGAACAGGAAACGTCTGTGGACAAATTTCTGACCATCTTTGGGTGTCAAAGGGAGACTACTGTTGATTTAACATACAAAAATCGGCATTTAAGAAAATAATAATACATTTACTTATATTTACTATGCCTTACCGATTGCACTTTGCCACTAAGTGTTCTTGACTTGGTTTGAAGCCTACAACAGGACATTAAATTTTCAATTATACTCACAATATCAAACTATACATCTATTCTATCATTACAACAGGATGTTAAGTTCATTGTTTTGATACTTGGTTATCAGACTAGACTGGTATGTACCTAGGTCTTTGAGTGTTCTGGCATGGTTGTTCATGTTTGTCTTGTGGTTGTCAATGCTCAAAAGTCCACCTGCTAAAGGTACCATGGGTTTCTCTGCAGGTAGCATGCAAAGTTCAAAACCATGAAGCTTTAGTATTGAAAAGCAACTCTTGGAAACAAAATATACTCACTCCAGCAACATATGGTTGACATCAGAGTTAAAGAACTTGCATTTCCCCTCAGTTCCACTGGCACTTCCAGCCTGCTTCAACCTCAGGATACAGCTTTCCAGGTCCGCAGGTAAACATTGTGGAAGAGTTGGTTCTACCACCTCTAAATTCCCATCTCCCGATTGTATTCCATTTTGAAGCGAAGTATTGGAAGGAGCACTAATAACTTTATCAGGTTGCGTGCTAGACGTACTTTCTGTGGCTGCAACACTATTGTTACCATTCACATGTACCATGACTGAATTCCCTGGCTCAGTTTTTACAACTCCATGATTGCTAAGCTGTGAATTCAGTGATTTTGCAGGAGAAGACTGGCTGGTTGAAGTGCTGTTTGGTCCTTGTGAAACCACACTAGGACTTAGAGCAGGATTTGAAGAGATTGTTCCAGAAATTGAAGTGTTCTTTGCAGTGGAAGAGGGAGACGATAAAAGGTTTGTAATGTTTGCATTTCCCATGCTAAGCTTCTTCTTATGTTTCTTTTCTTTGTCTTTTTCACCACTTAAAAAAAATATATATATTTCAACAAAAATGTTACAAAGTAATACACTGACATCCATGAACCATCTTGTAGCATGACATGGCAAAATGTAGATAAGCTTGTAGAAAAACAGCTTACTGTGCAGTCATGCCTTTTACATTATTTTAGTGCTGCATTAATTAATCCCCAAATTCCTGAGATTAATCAAGATCAACCGTAAAATCACTAAATAGTCCAACAGTCAGGTGACAAGAATTAAAAAAAAAATCTTCAAGATGTTGAGTTAATGGATGGTTAGTTTTCAGTGCCAACATTAGAAACAAAGCAGGAATTGATCTTTTGAGCTTACCTGGAGCTCTTTCGTGGCTTCTTCTCTTTGTCTGTGGACTTTTTTCTTTCTTTCTTTTCACTGGGGTCCTTGACCTTCTTGACTTTAGGCACCTTTGGAATTTTCTAGAAATCATTACAGCAAAATATAAATTCCAAGATTTTCATTGCAAACTAAAGGAGCTGTCATCAGTAGTTGAAACATGATTTACATCCATTCCAGCCTTGATTTTCTGGAAATTCTCATAATCTGGATTTTTTTCCTTATAACTTGAATTACACAAGTTCTTGTATGTTACATTACAAGTACATTAGAATATTTGATGAACTGTTCAATTGTAGGCATGTATGACTAATGTTGATAAATATTCACACCTTGGGAGTCTTAGTCTTGACTTTCTTTGGTTTCTTGAAGTCTTCATCCTCACTAAAATGTAAATGAATGTAGTTACATATAGACAAAAATCAAGAACAGACAATTCTTTTAGCACAGAACAGCATATCATAGTAGGGTTCACTTGCATAATCATTACCAAGAAACATTAAAAATAGTCTAAAAAAAAAACTATTAACATAAATGTTTACCTTTCACCAGCTGGGGATAGTGGCCTAAAGTTTAGAATACCCTGATTAATGTAAAAGCCACCATGTTCTGTTGTCCAGTCAGCTGAGATAAACTCATCATGCTAAGGAAATCAAATCAAAAATTAGAATCCAAAGCGCCTCTTACATTACAATCAGGAGAACACTTACATGTACTGCAATACCTATTAAATATATTAAATGTATTCAAGCAAAAGTACTTATTTATTATTCTTCAATTATATCATTTTACCATATCAGGTCAAAAGACTAAGCAAAACATTAGCCTGTGGAGTCCAACTGTAGAGTAACATATTTTGTTTTCGCCTGTTGTGCACACTTAATATGACTGGTACAATTTTTAGATGAATTGTGATGAATTTAAAACTACATGCCAGAAGACTAGAAAATGACATATTGGTGGAGTTATAAAACCTTTATTTGATGGTTTAACATTTAATGTGCAGACATTTTGTTCATTGCTTGTATTTTAGCAACTCGCAAAATATCTGTGTAAATTATATATGTTATTTCTATAGATATGGTGTATTTATAATACTTCTAAGCAGTCTAATTTTTGCTGGATATAAGGTAAAGCTTTCAGAGATACTGTATATTTGTCAAGCAATAAGCAACACAACAAAATTAGTGTGCTCTCCTCACATTCTTCAAGAATGAGATGGATACCATTTTTTGATTGGTAACATTTGCCTAAACCTTGTCAAATCCTTAGTAATATTATAACAAAATGTAAAGTGGAACTCACAGCCTCACTGTCGTCAACAAACGGGTCAGTCTCATCATAGCCATAGGTAACATCAATTAAATCCTGGGACAAAGGGAAAAAACAACAAACATGTCACTAAACAGAAGCGGTTTCATTGGACAGCAACTGATCTTCAAGACCTTGCATCTGTTTGGCTCAAACAACTACCTTGATTTTCAAGTTGTAATGTGAGGTTTGACTGTTTTTAGAAAAACAAGTGCAGGACAGGCAGCTTAATGGAGCAAAGTGTGAAGTACAATTCACAAAAGCATTAAGTATGATGACAGGCACAAGATGGTCTTTTTTTCTTTTTACACATACCGGTAGTTGTAAGCTGGGTTTAGAAATGGAGGTATATTCTGTTTAGATTTGAAATCCAATTCATAAAGAGCACATTCTTGTGGTATGGAGAAATTTAGCTTGTTTTATTGTAATTTAGAGTGCTATGCACATACCTATAGATGAGCACTACACTGTGAGATGGGGACATGGAAAAATAGAGAGTCTATTTAACAAATTGAAATCAGTTTTTCCTGTGTCTGTCCTGTTATTAATCTAGAATTTTGTCATAAACATTGTCAAAGTAGCCGTAGACAATGTTATGACAAAATTCATTGTCGATAACAGGACAGACACATAAACAACTGACGACAATAATAAACTGTCATATTGTTCGCTCTCACTTGTTGCATGAACTTTGCATCAATTATAAATTCATGAGTCTGTCCACTTATTGACAATGAAAATTAGAAAATGAGCGCACAAGAATTTCTGAAGTTATTGTAAAATATACTATAACATAAAACAATTTGTGATGTAAGGGGAAGGGGGAAGTTTATACAGGTCCACATGGGGTAACAAAGGAAGAGCACTTTTCTGTTACAAGACGGGTGGTGATATATGGAGATGTATTTTTTTTTTGATGGTGATGTAAGCAGAAGGACTTATTACTGGGATCTAATGTTGGAGAAAGATACTCCTAAAACACATGCTTGTAAGGCCTTTTCCTTCTACTTAAGAAATGTTTATCCTTAGTATGCAGTCTATAGTTTGTACAATGCCTACATACTGGATTTTCCACTTCTCATACCTCCCTGCAAATTTTTTCCTATTTCTGCTAGTTTCAGCTATCAAAGAGATCCCACTTCCCACACTCTCTTTCCCTCCTTCCATAGAGTTTCTGCCCCCTGCACTCCCTGGTCGCTGCCCCCCCCTGTCATCCTCCCCTCCATGTGTACAGTCTTCATTATCAAATATTGACTGAAGATATGACACATGGTCTGTGCTTTGCTCAGAATTGCAAAACTGCAGTCTTATTACCCAAAATAATAATTCTGTGATACTGAAATATTTTGAACAAAATGTTGTGATGTTCTAACCTTAGATTATGAATAACCTCACTTAAAACACAACTTTTTACTGTATTGGGGCTCGAGTATAAAACTAGATAGAAAGCACCAGTTTGAGTGATATTGTTATTGCTTCAAAACAGACTTATCTGAACCAATGAAGGGTTCATAGGATTTTGTAGAATCACTGCAGCAAAATCCCCCACACAGAGAGAATGGTTCGTCTTCTGGAACGAAATCTTACCCTGGCTTTCAACCGGAAACAAAATTGGCCTGACTCTTCCGTATTAACTATTCAAAGAAAATCGATTGCGAGCTAAAAATATTACGATAAGAAACTAAAATTCTAAAAATATTCAGTTAGAAACATTTCATCACAAACACACTTCAAAGGAATCAAGTTGAACATTGACGTACACCACAAAGAGAGAGAAATTTAACCGGTAAAGTGAAACCGACAACGTTGTAAATAACGCAAAAAAGCCATCATCGTCATGTAAAAATATCACACATTAAAGGTGTATTGTAAATGCTTTACAAGAGAATTTAATACACAAAACCAAGTTTCTCAACATATCAATGCTTGCCAAACAATGGGATAAAGTCAAAAACGTTTTACACTTCTCAGAAAAAGGCAGTTACGAACTTACAACAACAGGGTCATGTCATAAACATAATGAATTAGTCAAGTAACATAAGCGCTACTCAAAACAAGTGATTCAAATTATTTTAACGCCGATGGAATCAATACGCCCCCATAAAAGCAACGGTTTTCGTAGTATTTCCAGGCTAGAGGCAATTAATCTACTCCTAATCCATGTTGTGGCATAAGTTAATTTAAGCTTACACAAGAACGACAAAAACACTTGATCAAAGAAAACCAACTCGGTTAATACGCAAACTTGTATAAGCTTAAGCTTAACAACGTTGACGAAAAATAAATGACTGGGCACTTTACTATAATTTTTACTGTACCTCCACTCGATCCCGTCTTCGCTTCTTAGATTTGGGTGCCTGTAAAAGAGTAAACGTGTTCGATCTCCATTTCAAAATAAGTTTACTATATACGCATCGCGCATTTCATGGCTTCGACGGCACTGCGGTTTCTAAGGAATCCGGAGTGTTGGACAAAAAAACGCGCTGAGCTGACAGAGGTGCACAACTTACATATTTCTCCTCAAACTTCTTGGCCAAAGCTCTTAGATTTTCTTCCTCTCCATCTTCTTTCCACGGGGTTTTCTCCGGAGTATCACTGGACTTCGCGAGCTAGAAAAAAAAATTAGGGAATCAAAAATCACGGGCATGTTTTAACAACGACAAAAATCAGCAATAAATTGATGTGCTTTATTGATAAAATTGCCTCCGCTCTGAAGAAGAGCCCTGGAGAGCTTAAACTTCACCCACCGTAGAAGTTTTTACAAGGTCCAGAAACGAAAACTCCGGACACTTCTTGTCATCGCTTTCCGTAAGAGGGAGCTTGAAGCGCAAAGTTCGGACCGTTTCTGAATTTTTCCAGTGTGCATCCACTGTCTCCGAAGGAAAAGGGTTAGCTTTTTCCATATCCCATCAAGAAGAACCCAAAAACACGGGCCGCGACCGTGGAGCCTTAGTTAAACCCCATCGACACGAACCTTATCCATCTTGAACTTGCCCGCTTCTCGCTCCAAAATTCAACACTTTGTTCAACTGCGCATGCTCAATGGCCAACTGCGCAGCCGCAGTGCGATTTTTATAGCGAGGAAGCTTCAAAGTTTGTGTCTTGGTGGAAATTACAGAGAATCTACAACAAATCGAGCAATCTTCCGAATTTCGAATTTTGCCTCGGAGTGGGCTGAAAACGTGGAGAACGGCCCCAAATCGGCCTAAATTCGGAGAAAACGCGAAAAAGATTGTTTAGACAAATTTTAAAAATATGGTTTTCTGCTCCCTTAAACTGTCTAAAATCTCAAAATGTGGTCCTTTTTATGTCCAAAATGGCGAAAAACGCGAAAGCGTGTGCGAATCGGCCCGCTACGCCCCACCCGGCGCAAAAGAACGCACATGTTTCCACAGAATCGCTAGCTTAACTACATTATGCAAAGCCCCCATTGTTTGCCCCTGATCAATTTTTCAGCGCTACATGTACCTGATACGCGCTTATGCTTGCGTGAAAAAAGCGCTTTTGTTGGCTGATCGCGGTTGAAAATGACAGATGCTATACCAACCGATAATTGTAATTGGACGCATTCTTGGCCGTGTTTACAGCTCGAAAGAGAACAATATTGCGTGATATGCACAATTTACTTCCGGTTTACGGGAACAGCCGCTGAGCACGTGCAGGCTCAAATTATTTAATTTCTTTTCATATTGTTACTGCTGATTTTACTTCTCATAGAAATTACAAGTCAAAATGCCTATCTCTTTACACAGTCATAGTGGGCAGTTCTGTAAGCACGCTTTCTGTTCATTAGAAGAGGTTGTTGTTAGAGCGATCGAAGCCGGGTTTACACATTACGGGCTATCGGAACATATGCCGCGATATGAAATAGAAGATTTATACGAGGAAGAAGTGGAGGTAAGTTTTGCTTTCAAGTCAAAACTGAAAGATCAAGATACCCGTATTACACAGAGTTTCATATATTTACATCTAACGGAATAACATCAGTGTAGAGAATCTTTCGACACGGGTATAATTAAGCTTATTAGTTTCTTGAGGATGGACATAAGAAGTTTGAATGCTTTCATACATTGAATAAAATAGCTTAAAACCCTATATCTTTTTTATTTGATCGCTCCCTTATCTATTCTAGTGATATTGGCAGTTTAATTCTAGTGTAGTCCTATGGGTCCATTTGGGAAGCCATTTTATAGTCCATTGACCTGGTCCATATTATCAGGGTGTTCCGTGGCTGGGTGTCCTACTAGGCTGTTGATTTCTGAAAATCCTGCAAATTTCACAACTAACAACTGCACCATACCCGAGTTCACCCACTCAATCATATCAGAAGCCCTGTCTAGTGTCTTGATTTCCTGATATCTTGCAAAGTTACTTGACATCGCCAAACTTTTGGCTCAAATTCTTTGGAGACGGTAAATACCTAATCATACCTTTTTGGTACGCATTGGCAGCATTGTAAACGTTTTTGTCCCATCATGGTTATTATGGCTTACTGAGTTTCACTTTAATACAATCCATGGCTCAACCAAACTTGCCTTATGCTGCTGAAGCATACCAAAAAGATACGATCAGGTGAAAGCATTGGCTGGTATCAGGAACACTTTAAAATTTGATGTTGTCACAGTGACAGAAACACTTGATTGATCCTTAATATGTTATATGATCCTTATTATGTTTAATTAATCAATCAATGTGATAAATCTTCTCACTGACTGAGTGATTGATTAACTAATTAAATGTGTGACTAACTGACCAACAAATAATCTGACTGAAGGGCTAACTGTGTGACTGACTAACCATTCAGCCTGTGGGCTGACATATGTACTGACAAATTGACTGACGACCTGAACACGCTGGAGGTGGATGGACCTACTAGTCTGACTGAATTACCAACTGGCCAACCACATGACAAGTGCACCCTACTCTAGTAACAGGAACTGACATGATTCTTGCCATTGTAGGAAAATATGACACCTGCTGATCTCCAGAACGTGTTTGAAGATTTTGTAAAGGAAGCAAGGCATCTTCAAGAAAAATACAAAGACAAGATTTGCCTAATTGTTGGCTTAGAAACAGAAGTTATAAGAGAAGATAGTTTTGATCGGATTCGCAAGTTGAAAAAGGACCTGAAATTGGATTACATAGTAGGATCAGTTCACCATGTTGATGGAATTCCGACTGATTTTAGCCGTGAACTTTTCAAAAAAGCAGAAAATCAGGCTGGTGGAACAGAACAAGTGATGTGCAGATACTTTGATCTCCAGTACAAGCTAATGGAAGAACTTAAACCTGAGGTCATTGGTCATTTTGATGTCATCAGACTTTATCGAGCTGATTTTGAAATTACAGATTTGATTTGGGAGAAGATTGTTCGGAATATAGACTTTGGGAACTCCTATGGAGCTTTGTTTGAGATAAATACAAGTGGTGCATCACCAAGAAAGAATCTGAAGTATCCATACCCTCACACACGAATTCTTCAGGTAAGAATAGCGAAATGATGATTCAGTACTGTATTTGGATTATATCATGTTGTAAGTATAAGATTGCCTCTACTTTATAAAGGGAACTCAAGTTGTCATACTTTTTTTGTAGAGGAATGAAATATCTAGTAATTTCCTTAACTAGATACCTGCTGTTGAAATTTTAATATTGGGCAGTAGTTTTAGTTCAAGTCAAGCGATGATTTGCACTCTGTTTCTCTAATTCCCATGCAAAAAAACTTGTTGATCAGCAAAATTTTTAAATGTCTCTCTCCTCCACAGAGGCTCAAAGGATTTTTTTTGGGTGGGGAGAACATGCTGAACGATGCAAGTGCAGGTGCAGGGTTAGGTGAAGGGCAACGTCGGAGATCCATTCAACTTTGTGCCTGCACTCACCTTGCACAGTGACTCTCTATAATGAACATTTTGAACCTCTGCAGAGGACAGACATTTAAACAAGACTGGAATTACTAAGTTTTCTGCAGTCATTGATTCTTGGAAAATATAGTGTAATGCTACATTGTAGTTTCATTTCTAAAGACATAGTGCGGCCAATTCCTGTAAATAAAAAACTTAGATGTTACAAATTTCTGCCCACAGCAAAATGCCTTTTCTGATTCCAAACAGCCAAGTGCAGGCTATGACAAAACACAAATCAAAATTATGTTAGCCTGTTAACAGGCTCTCTAGTTGACAATGGTGTGAGAGAAAGTGGGAATAAAGAGGAGAGAAGAGTGATTAGGGGAGAGAGAGGAGGAGAGCCACCCCAATCCCCACCACCACCCCCAGCCACTTCACTATCAACCAGTTCTTTCTTGGCCCTTTTAGCCGCAGTCAGATCCTTCCAACCAGAACTTGTTCACAGGCTAAAATTATAAAGTTATGTATGGAGCCAAGCAAGTTCATTAAAATGGAGTTGCTAATTTTCCATAACGTTTACCAAAAACAGATCAAGTGAAGGACACTTAGAACTTTTCTTTATCGCCTAAATCTCAGAACTGATATAATTATGATAATTATCATTTGCATCTTTTTTTCTCATAGTATCTTCTGACTTCTGGAGCTAAACTTACACTGTCTGACGATGCACATGGTACTGGTGATGTAGGTTTCTGGTACAACAACTTGCCCCAGTACTTAGCTACTCACAATGTCACTGAGCTATACTATCTGGAGAAGGCCCTGATGACTAATCCCTCCTCAGAGCATCAAGGCAGTGTGGTGTGTAAGAAGACAGAAGGCAGACTGTTTAAGCCATCCATTTTGGACTCGCTGCTCTGACATTTTAGAAAATGACAAATAAAATTTTGTTTCCTAATCTTTGGTCATTTGTTTGTGGGGCTGAAACTCAGTGATGTATACTTTTCTACAGGGAGGTTCTTCCCCGTAGTCCAAACCCTTATACTTTTATATACTGTTTTTGACAGAGAAAGTAACCCGAATAAATGTTTATTATCGGAAAATTGCCACTTGTGAAAAAAGATAACTAGGTTTTCTTCACCTAGTTCAAAAAGTTTCTCCAATGAGACGCAAGATTTATTTCAGCTTATCGTAAAGTTCAAACAAGTGCAATCTACTTTTTCCACAGCAGGTTACGCTTTCTGGTTAGTTTAGCAGACTTTTCGATATTTGTTAACACTTGTAGCTCCGGGTTTCAGGTTTGTGGTGGTGGTTAGTTGTTACAAAAGTGTGGTTCGTCATGCTTTCACCAAACTAGATTGAGATGTTGTCCAAAGATACCACTTGGGACCAAAGGAGTCGATCAAAAATTCTTCTATATTTAAGTTAATTGAATAACTACAAAACTTGATCCGTGTACGGATATCAAAATTTATCTCCTTTGGTGGGATAAAAAAACAGAAGTCTGTTTCAACGCTGCAATACTATACGAAGGCACCGAAAACAGAGTGACAAATCTCTCCCTCAATAGAGCGCAGGCGAGTACCGTAAAATTGACAGACTCGCCATGTTAGAAAGGCAAACGCATTCTTCCAATGCGCGTCATTCCTTGCGCGTCCTATTTTCTTCCTGCGTTAAGTCGCATTGACGCGCAGTCGTGTTCAGAAGTGTTTGCATTTTGGCTAGACTTGCCACAGATCATTTTTTTTTTGTCTCTCACAAGACTGAAATATTTTCGAATCTTCAAGACGATACGTTAGACGTTCTTAGCCGCCTCATTTGAATAGGTTTTTAGAATAATAACAGATAGGTAACATGGTAAATTAAGAAAAAAAATGAAATTGATAACATGGTTGGTGTTTGTGGTCGTAGGTGGGTGCTGGCTGTCTGGTGTGGTTAATTAAGTTATGAAGCTCGTGGGCGTTTTCGCAGAAAAGTTTGTAGGCGTTTAAGCAGTTGTGGGCACCACGGGTGTTGTGGTTGACGCCCCCAAAACGGACCACAATACCCACAACGGCCAGGGCGCCCTGACTAACAACATAACACCCACATCTGCCCCAACACCACATGTACAATAGTCAAGGCTTGATAGAAGATCTTTCTTTGGATCTTCTAATGACGAAGGCAGTGGCTTATTGATTTAGCTGTTCAGTTAAAACTTCCGTTCTATTGCCAACAGCTTCCTCGACTGGTAGTTGTTTTTTTGCAACTTACTTGCGTTAAGCCATACATTTTTTTCACTTTCTTTTAATTGCATTTAACACACAGGGTGACAGAGGAAATTACTCTCGACTTTTAATTTGCAAACAAATAAGCCCACAAATACGTCTGGGAATGACACGACTATATTTTATAACTCAGTTACAAAATGAAGTTATACAGTCCAATTAACTCAGTTATAAAATGCAGTCGCATTAATTCAGCTAAAAAATACACCTAACTCTTCCCACTGAATTCATTGTCTCTTTCTTGATCTGGGTTAATGCCCAGATTCAGCACGATGAAACTTTATCCTCTCAATTCAGTTAAAAAACTTTACTCAAAAAATATTCTCGCCGGCCTGTAACAATACTCTTTTACTTTTTGAACATTAAATCTTAATTTGTTTACAAAAATATGTACCTCTGTATTTGCAGTGGTTTCCCCAGCCTCCAATGGACAAAATTTCCCGCGAAATCTAATTCGAGGCTTACGAGTCATCCCGACTTAAAGGGAACAATTCTATTCATTTTTTTCCGACTTAATGTAACAACTTGGCTTATTTTACGGAAGACCTGTTCCGAAGACGACTTGGTTGTGCCTTAGCCTGCGAACAGGCTCCAGCTAGGTTCCTGGCAAGGTCAGAAAAAAAATTAGGCGACCGACGCGAGCCGATGAGGGCGAAAAAAACAAAAGACTTTCGGCGAGCGAAGCGCTTCGTTCGCTCTATGTTTTCTTTCCACCCTCGCCGGGAGCCTTTTCTCAGGCTAGCTTTGATATTGTGCTACTCTGATCCGGCGGTGGACTAGACGACAGGAATTCCGATTCGTAAATGATCCTCCAAATGACCGTATTAAAGGATTCAAGCGTCGTGTGTTTAAAAAGTTTGTAATTTAAATGGGACTTGATTCATTCTGCTCGCCCCTGTCAGCATTGTCGGATGAAGCTCTGGTATTCTCATACACAGGATCCTCTGGGTGCTTCAAACCGAGGGTCTCGTAGACGTGTTCCTTATCTGCGACGTTCTGGTAATCAGGAACATCCTTGGCAACCCTTGTCTTGGGCGTTTTATAATGAACTTCTGCCTTGGGCGTTTTATAGTGACCGTTGGGAGTTTTGTAATCAGCCTGGGTCTGTGACGAAGCTTTGTCACGCGTGGCATCGATTTGTTCTTGCGTGACATAACGCTCTTCGTCGTCACTCTTTCCGTCGTCGCGTCTCGTTTCATTGGAGCACCCAGCTTTTCCAAGAGACCCAATACTTTCGTACAATCCTGAAGCGCGTCCTTCTTCAAGTTGTTTTTGCTCCGCGCTCAAATCAACTCTCAAATGATCGCATTTGTCAGAATCACCAGCTGTTATCAAAGGGACATCTTCTGCCTCCGCCCTTGGTAGGAAGCCATTTGCCTCTTGTACAGCGATAACAGGTTGATCCGGTTCGTCCGCCGTCTGCAATAGCCCCTCAGTCATGGAGTCGCTGCCCAGCGTAGTGTTTCCCGAGGGGGTTTCATATCTCACGCTGAAGGCCCCCCATGTAACAATGTCTTTCGACCTCTTTCTACGTTTCGACTTCGTAACCTCACCGTTTTGATGCAATTGTTTTCTCTTGCGGGAACGCCCGATGAACACTATCAATATAATTAACAAGAGGAATGCGCAGGCCAGCGGAACTCCTATCAGTAAAATCTTGTTCCCTTTGGTTATTTCTTCACCTGAAAATGACCAAATAATAAACGTGTTATTCTCTGTGTGCTAAAAGACTAATGTTAAGAGACAATGGGGCTGACATCTCTAGGGTAGCCTTCGTTGCAGGTGCAAACGGAGAAATAACACGGGAGGCGAAAAACGCCCGTTCCTCC